AATTTTGGTTTTTGAGTTTTTGGTGAAATTTGGCAGTGTGGCACAGTAAATGGTGGTTATAGACTTCGCGCACCATATTAATTCTATTTATTTATTAATAACGTGTATAATTATTTATTATCCTTTGAATTCGTGTTACGTTCTGTAGCACATTCATATTATTTAACTTTATTTAGTAGAGATTAATGACGATTATCCCAGACCGGAATCACCCATTCATCAACAGAGTTGCGACCTGGTCACAGAGCCATCCTTACCCTAGAGGTAGGATCGTTGCAGGCAACTTTTCGGCTAGCGTGCCAGCAGCCTTCTTTGGTCTGGATGCTATGAGGGAAGATTAGTGAAAAGCATCCTTGATGATTGATGCAGTCTTGATGTAGCTCCAGGGTAGAGCGACCCCCCTGGAATTCTGTTACATCATCACATCATCGGGCATCGCAAGTCAGATTAGCCTTATGTACACGAGGAATATGTGTGTGAATGACTGTAAAGTGTTCAAGGCAGCATGCATGCTTCAACGCCTGCCAATTTCCAATAATTAAACATTGCATATTGAAATGTTTCTTTTTCAATGGTGTGCTGCCTTGATATATTATAATTATAATAATAGTAATATTATTAACAATTATGCAAAGCAAAATACCAATTGTTCATTCATTATCATCTTGATGAGGATCTTATAATTACCCAGCAAGATCTGCTCTGTGTTTTGATTCCAATTAAAATATTTATAAAAATATCAATACAAAGAAAAAAGTATCTCTGGTTAGTTATTAACACGTTTTCTTTAGGAGACCTAAACCAAACCAAACAACAACACTCATGTTTTGTCACCTTGGACTTTTTCCAAAAAAAAAATCATGGTTAAAAATCCGTTTATGGATAGATCTACAAGTCATGATTACTATTGATATTTCAATTTAAATGTGTAAAGTATTTTAAAATCGAAAAAAGGACCTATTATAAAACATGGTATACACCACATAATTCTTAGATATTCTTGTTTCTAGAGCAGATGGTCGTTTTACGAGAACGGAATTTAGTTTTGAGTTTATTTGTAATAAAGTTGACTCTGAATTTCATTGTTTTGACGAAATTAACGATCTTTCTCATTTTAAAATACACGTAAAAAGTAAAAAAAGTAAATAGTAATAATAACAAATAAATTTTAAATTAATTAAAACACATTCCATTATTTTTTTTGTTTTTATTTAATTAGAAAAATGACTAGAGGTAGTGTTCGTAAAAACTATGGTCCTTGTGTAGTATGTGGTGAAGTGAAGAATATAGAAAAATTACAGAATACTCTATAATTAAAGCACACAACTGTCCAACTTTTCAATCTCTAAATGTTAAACTCCAAGTTGGTGACCAATTATGCAAAAAGCATTACAATGAATTAATTAATTATAACCGAAATGACAGACCAAATCATAAACAAAATATTGATAAGGATACATCTTTCTATGCAAAAGTAAATCAACATAAATGCATTTGTTTAAGTGAAAAGGATTATCAAAACCTCTGTAATAAGGCTGTGAGTATTGAACAATTAACACAAAGAATCAATGATCTAGAAACAGAATTGGGTGCATATATGATTGAAGTGGAAAAATCACATAACAATGGTAACTTAATTATTTTATGTTATAATTGCCCAAAAATTGTTTAGATATGTATTATAAATAATTTGTGATTGCTACAATACACTTTTTATATTAAACCATAATAATTGTTTTAAACTCAAACCTGCTGGGTTTGAGAAATAAAAATTTGTGTTATATAAATAGTACCCAAACAATTTTCACAATATTTCAATGAACAAATTGAATGAATGACTAAAGTGATATATCAATATCAAAATAATAATATGCCAATTTTTGATGTTCAAGAATTTGTAAAATTAATCGAAAGCCATGATCCAAAACTAGAAGGATTTTTTGATGCTTTATATGAAGCCATGAATCCCAAAAATAAAAATCAAAAAACAGTCATTGTTAAAACAAAAGATTATGTTACTGTGCTATCAAATGGCTGCACTGTGTAATAAGCAGGTAAGTGGTACCAAAACATCCATTGGATTGTTTCTTGCAGAGTCAGGCACTTCTACTAGTGGTATAAACACCCTTGCAAACATTGGAACAAGTGCCACATATCAAACAGTATATAATAAGTTGGAAAAGTTTGTTGAAACACATGAAGAGACAGTACGAGTATATGTTAAGAAATCAGTATGTTTGATTAAAAAATTTTTGCATTGTTTAAATTTGTAAATTAAACAAAATACTA